ATGTAAAGTGGCAGATTTGTAAGTCATTATTGATTGATTAATCGAAATGGCTTCAAAAAACATTCATTTTCCGTTTTTCGCTCAGACCTTTTGCATATTTCCAGGAAGAAATCTTATATTCTAGTTGTTTATATCTGTTTGGTTTCTCAAAAATAAATATGTGACATATCCATATACACCGTGATTAGTAGAGTCGTGTACCTACAGAAAAACCTAACGTTTCTCTTCGAACAATGATCCAAACTTAAATTTAATCTTCAACAAAACATATATGATAAAAGAGCACACAAACGTGCTCTAATCATATTTTCTCAGAAAAAAAAATGTCAAACCTATAAAATATTTTTCACCTGATCCGGACCAGTTACAACTCTGTCAGAGACTATCATAGATCATGACAAGAATTTCAGCAACATACTTCTTATTTCATTTATAGAGAATTAAATAAAACGATGGTGAAGAAATGTGTTCTAAAATAGACAGAATAAAACAATCAATCCTATGCTTAGTAAGAGTAGTTACATTGTGTTTTATATTTTAATCCTACAGGGATTGCTCTAACAGCTTTTTCTTATTAATCAAAACAAAAGCTTTGCCCAGAATAGAAAACTATGAGAATAAATTAGTTTGATTGAGGTTTTGACAATAGTCACTATGTAAATATCCGTTGCTTGTAGTTATGAACACGTTTTAATGAATTTTATTTTTAAGTTTTAATAAAACTAATGGAAAAATAAATTTCATTTCTGAACTTTTTTTTAAAGGCAATCTACACATATTCTAATTTTTATCGTCATGTTGATTGTATACAGTTGGAAGCTATTTCTTGAAATTGATTAGATTTGCAGAACTTCTAAATAAACTTTTGATACTCTATTACGTATTCTAACTGATGTCGAAGGAAATCATAATCTAAAACAAAAAATGCAAACTTTCACATTTTTTCTCTATTTAATACTGAAATCAATATTCTAATCTATTTAGACAATATGATATCCAGATTACATTCTATATCAGCTTGTCTAGTAAATTTTTGAATTTTTAACTTGTTCTTGGGGAAAACATAGGAGATTGATACTGTCGTAAACGCTAATAAAAATTTAAACAATGATTTCTGTAGAGAGTTCTATTTCCAACAAGAGTTGTGGAAGATTAAAATGAATGCTAGTTTTTCAGTGATATGATCTCTGAAAAACCAAAACGTAAGATTTTCAGCTGCTGAAATTGACAAGCAGAATTCCATTTAATAAATCTTACAGAAAGCATAAACATGGCGTTTCCATACGGAATAGCCGACTTTTATGTCTTTCGGAAGGTTAATGTGTCTGGGTCAAAGAAAGCCATAAAAAGAGCTATAAACATATTTCATTTTGCTATTTACTCTATTATTCTATGGAATTTCTATTTGAGAACTCTAAGAGCTGAAAAGCTTAGACTTTTGATTTTCCAAAGATCCTATCCTTGAAAAACAATCAATCATTTTCATCTTCAAAAATTCTTATCAGAGTGTTTACGTCAATAGATAAAATAATCTAAGTCGAATAATTTTATAAGTCACTTTATGCAATATTAAATCTGCATTACTCATTATAACTATAGAATATAGCCTAATTTCCTATCACGCTATCTATTTTCATTATCCCTATATGTTAATAAGGATAAAATCTTGTTTATTATGTTCTCAGCAGTTTTAATCATGACATTATAATTTGAATTTTGATAATACAATCTATCGAATTTCTTTTTTTCTTGACTATAAAATCTATTTATTATCATAAATTCTAGACACCTACATCCATAGTAACATCATCAGAACAAAATTGGAATACATTATTTCTTTCTTCAAATGTAATAGCTGAAATTATGGCTGAACGATATGGTCTTGATAAATCATCAATTGCTAATTCAACAAAAAAAAATGATAGTTTAGCTGTACGATTAGCTGTTGGTGAAACACAAATAATACATGAAACTCGACAATTTTTAATTGATAATGGTGTCAAATTAGATTCATTTAGTCAAGCATTATCAACAACAAAACGAAGTAAAAAAATAATATTAGTAAAAAATTTACCAATTAAAACACATGAACATGATTTAAAAATTTTATTTGAAAAATATGGTAAATTAGAAAAAATTATTTTACCACCTTATGGACATTGTGCATTAATTGTATTTGAATATCCACAAGAAGCACGACAAGCATTTAAACAATTATCATTTCGAAAATTTAAAGATAATACACCATTATATTTAGAATGGGCACCGGGAAATGTTCTATCAGAACAAATAAAACAAGAAGAAAAACAAGTAAAGTTTAGCATTTAACATATATATATATACATTGACTAGACTAGATATGCTTGCAATTCCTTTAAAATGTTAATTACATTGTTTATCTAATGAATAGAAACGTTATTGTTGGTATGGATATATATGTATTAGAGTATATTAGGAGATTTTTAATGAACAAGAAAGTATCATGACTTTTAAATTTGATACATGCTTTTCTTTGATAGAAAAAAAAATCGAAGATTCTATTTCATAATTTAAAAACAAAAAAATAATTTCTCCCATGAGCAAAACATTATCAGCTGGGTTATATGGGTTTTAGAATAGAAAGACGATGATTAATGAATCTAATAGAGGAAACTAATCAAAAGCAGAATATATAGAAGATATAAAACAAACATAATGTTTGTTTTTATGGATGTTTTTGTTCTATTCGCTGTTAATAGGAATGAGTTAATTAACTAAATGCTTAAGAACATTGCTAGTTTTGATGAAAATACGCATCGTCTCTTAAGCTTTGATTCCTTTATGAAACGAATAAGACGAGGCATTATATTTATCTAGCGATGAATGAATAATATATTTTGAATTAATAAGCATCTATCAGAATTATTCAAGTTGTGCTTCTAAAAAACAATGCTCATAAGTTGACATAATCTCTTTTCAATGTTATTAGGCTTTCTTTTTTGGTGTTGGTATATTATGTCTAAATACACTCCTATCTGATGAAAACATGGAAAATATCTTTATGACAATCTTCTTATTGATAATTCTCTTAAAAATCAAAAACAGAGTCAAAAGTTTAAAAAAAAAATTTCTATTAATGAACATTTCTTTCGAATATACAATCACCTAAATGCATTGTCTTCTTGCATTTTATAATGCTGTCTATAAGCAAATGCTTTTCTATCATATTGAAAGAAGAAAATCGAGATAATCGAATGAACACAAAAAAATTATCTTTTTTTTTTTGCTTAGATTGAATCACTTGTTGAAGAAGAAGAAATAAACAACCAACAAGAGGAAATATGTACATTATTTGTGAAAAATCTTAATTTTGATACAACAGATGAAGATTTAGAAAAAGTAAAAATGAAAAGAATTATTTTGTTTCTTTTTTTTTCTTTTTACGTCAATTTATTTCTTTTCTTTTCCATTAGCATTTTTCTCCTATTGGTCCATGTCGAGCTTATGTAGCAAAAAAAAAAGATCCTAAACGTCCAGGTCAATTATTATCCATGGGTTATGGTTTTATTGAATATTCATCAATAAAATTACTTAACGAAGCACTTAAACAATTACAACATTCACAACTTCAGGATCATCAATTAGAACTTAAACGATCAGAACGTACAATGAAATCAAAGTAAAACAAAACAAAAAAATTCTTAAATAATTCTTTTTTTTTTTTAATTGTTTTTTAATATTTAGTCAACAAATAAAATCTAATAAACGTAAACGTCAATTAGAAAAAGAACAACATACAAGTAAAATTTTAGTTAAAAATATTCCATTTCAAGCTAATATAAAAGAAATACGTGAATTATTTCGTGTATTTGGTGAATTAAAATTTGTTCGTATGCCAAAAAAAATTGATGATGAACATCATCGTGGTTTTGGTTTTGTTGATTTTGTCAGTAAAAATGATGCAAAGGTATGAATAAATGAAAAAGAAATAATTTAATCGATTATGAATGAATAAATAAATTTTTTGATTTTAGAATGCTTTTGAAGCATTATGTCATAGTACACATTTGTATGGACGTCGTCTTGTGCTTGAATGGGCTGATGAAGAAAATGATACCATTGAAGGATTACGAAAGAAAACGGCAGCAGAATTCGGTAAATTTAACTTGAAAAAAGAAAATGAATATTTTTTTTTTGTTTTATTTTGTTGTTATAGAGCTTAATTCAAGTGGTAAACGTTTAAAACGATCTGAATTACTTGGTGGATTACGTAAACTGGGTGGAAATGATCAAATATCCGAAAGGAAAACTACTGAAGAAGAAGAATAAATAAATAAAATAAAATAAAATAAAAAAAAAGAAATCATTTTTTTTTCTGTTTTTATTCTTCATTGTTTTGTTATTGATTACGTGTTATTTGTAGTCGATATATTCATATTTAGATTAGAATCATGATCAACAAAAAATCTATTTATCAACAATTGAAGAATAGAAAATTTTGTTACTATTTGTATACAATTAAGTTTCGATGGTGTAATACAAACCATGGTAACTTAAAGGTTATAATTGTTCCACTATTATTATTATTTTTAATTAATTTTTTTTCACACATCGCGGAACAAAAGAGAGAGAGAGAGAGACTTATGCTTCATTCTAGTCCAACATACAGAATGCCAGAAAGACAGTCAGGGTTTTTTTTGTCGAGAACGTTGCCGGGCTATGGCGTTTATATTTCTTCTAGAAAGATTGAAATGGTAGACACAGAAGGAGAGAAAGTCAGACTGTCATAGCAGAGAAAGAAAAGAAAATTTTTCTCTCCATCTGAGAGTGCCAGACGGACGTCAGAAAATATACGAAGAAAAGGAAAGAACATATTAACATACAAGTTCTTTATACGCCCTTGTAACATAAAGAGGGACCATGGGCATAACTGCATTCAATCTTCTTTGATAACATTTTTATAGTCACTAATTTTCTTTTCTTTTTTTTTTTTTGTTGGAAAGTTTAGGTTATTGTTTATTATGGGTACTGGAAAAACAATTATATTAGTTGATGGCGAAGCACCACCACGATTTATACCATCCACACGTTTTACATTAGCTTTATTGGTCTTTTTTGCTTTTATTATACAATATTCTCAACGTGTAAATTTACCAATTGCAATTATATGCATGGTTAGTCGTACAGAATCAACTGAAAATCCATTAAATACAACAAAAATGATAAGTACTAATATTGTAAATGATTTAAATAGAAATTTTATTGATGTACCAACAACAACAAAACCAATCTTAACAACTATACAAAAAAGAGGATTTCTTAAAGATAAACAGTTCAATTGGAGTGAACTAAAACAACAAGCCCTTTTAGGAGGCTATTGGTCGGGATATATTTTTACACAAGTACCGGGTAAATATTTTGTTTTGCTTACATATAATTTATAATAGATCATTGGATATATATTATAGGTGGATGGTTAGCAACAAGTATAGGACCAAAATGGGTTTATGCTTGTTCACTAAGTACAAGTTCTGTTGCTACTCTTGCTCTAACAATAATGTATTTCATGTCAAGTACACACTTTATTCTAATGTTTATTCTTCGTTTTATTATTGGTGTAGCGCATGGTGTTCTTTTTCCAGCAACAATAGCACTTTGGTCAGTTTGGGCCGTAGCACAAGAACGAAGTACACTTGTATCAATTGGTTTTTGTGGTACACAATTTGGAACATCATTAACAATGCTTCTCGGTGGTCTTTCATGTCGTTATTTATATTCAGGTTGGATGTATTTATTTTTGCTAACAAGTATTCTTGGTTTTATTTGGCTTGCATTATGGGTAACACTTACAGCTAATTCACCAAGTGAACATCAAACAATAAGTAGTCATGAACGAGATTATATATGTAATTTAACAGGACATACAGGTAAAAAACGTGCAATATCATTAGCGTCCATACCATGGAAAAATATAGCTACATCAAAACCAGTAGTTGCATTAATCATTACTCATATGTCAAATTTATTTGGTTTATTTTTCTTTTTAACAAATCTTAGTAAAATTATAACAGAACTTTATGGTGTACCATCACAATATACTGGTTTTATATTAGCATTTGGATTTTTTCTTACACTTGTAACTAGTTTAACATCAGGTAAAGAAAACCAAAACAAAAAAAAATAAAATAAAATAAAACATTTTTTTTTAATTTATGAAATTATTATAAGGTATACTCGCTGATGCACTTGTTCGATCTAAAGTTATGACATTAACTACTGCTAGAAAATTATTCAATTCTATAACATCATTTGTACCTGTTCTATGTATGATATCACTTTGTTTTTGTGATGCATCAAGACAAGTATTAGGCGTTATTACAATACTTATCTTGCTTGCTGTTTCTGGTAAGTCTAATAAAAACTTGATTTATTTACCAAAGAAGTTAATCAAAGATTAAAAAAAAAAGAACCTCGAATAAAACTATATTCTGTTTAGTATGCTGGATTGATCTATGCTTATGTGTATTACAAATCTGTCATTTTTTTTATTATATTTCTAACGTCCTTGAGAAAACAAGAGAACGAGAAGGATGTATAGAACATAATTTTTCCGATAAATAATAGACATAACGTTCAAAGTGCATTGGAAACTAATAGAAGTGCCTGGAAATGAAGCTTGAGATCAAATGAATGGAAAAAAAAACGTATTTTGACAGATAAATTGTCACAAATTGCATCTATTTATAGTCATAATATGAATTACAAAGTAGTAAAACATCGGCCTATTGAACTATGCTTAAAATGTAAAAAAAAAAAAAAGGAAAACAATGTTTCTCGAATATTGAATTCAATGTGCATTTAGAATAGATTGTAAATATATATATGATGAAATGTTTCTTATTAAAGGTCTTGGTTATGGAAGTGCTTATACTGTAAATTTTGCTGATATTGTTCCAGCATATTCAGGTGTTGTTTTTGGTATTGCTAATACATTTGCATCATTAGCTGGTTTTATTGGAAATCTTGTTGCTGGTATTGTTGTTAAACAACCAATATTAGAACAATGGAGAAAATTATTTATTATGTTTGGTATTGTTTATTTTATTGGTGGTCTGGTATTTTTATTATTTGGTTCAGCTATACCACGTAAATGGGCTACATTTCAAACAAATACAGTTAAACAAACTAAAGCCAATGATGAAGAAATGATGCCAATGAATGAAAATGAATAAGTTATACCTTAATAACAAGGAACAAATGAATTTTTTTATTTATTTTTTTTTAGTTCATTAGTTTTGTTTTTGTTTCCGTCCATTATGGCCGGTTAGAATCATCATGAGAATAGATTGCCTCGTTTTTTCTTGTTTTTCCTCAATAGTATTTACATTGTTAATCTTGAAAACAGTTCTTTTGACTTATGATACTATTTCGAAAAGTTTCATGTTTTTTTGTTTTTATTTATTTTACTCGTTTAGTATAACTAGAAATTATATTTAAGTTGTTTTTTTTTGTTTTCGTCGTATGTATGATGGAATATAAGTGTTTATTCTTTTTCTCTTACCGTTTAATCGAATACCTTCTAAGCCAGTACGAAATAAAATATTGAAAATTTTTATTTGATTTTGTTTTTTGTTTACAATAATTTTGTTTTTCAACTTTATATCTGAAGTTTAGTATCAATTTTGGTAACAGTGATTAGCCGGTTGTGAATACTCAAAAGGCTAGTCTGATATTAGACATGATATCTTGTAAAAAGAAAATGTTGCAATTTTGTTTGGAGGTAACGATTTAGTCTGTACGGATCTTTGATCTATCGATTCCATTGTTCCCGTTGTAAGCATTAAAACAACTCAATTATCTTTAAGTCTGTTTCTTTTTGCTACTCTCTAATCAAGCAAATTACGGGTTTAATTACAAACTAATCAATAGAATATATATCTACTGAGTTTGCCAACATGTTGTTTTTTATAGTTCTTGGTACAAATTTGTTATGGAATTAATGAACATCCTGGACGGATGGTATAGGAAATTCTAGACACATGCAAACCGGATATTCGAATTCCTGAATAATATTATACCTGTTTTATTAATAAGTATGAGCACGATAATTTATCATAATAGATGTCGAGTTTTTTTCCGATTTCTTTTTCCCAGATATTTTGCGTGATGAATAATAAAGTTGTTTATTTTTATAGAATTATCAGATTTAATAATCATGTAATACTTCTTATAATACTTTTTGTTATAGAAAAACATTTTTTTTAAAAATATTATTTTCCTTTTTAGATGAATTCCATGTATAATTTTGTCTATCGTAAATGTCTTTGTTTATCAACTCGATATTTTTTAATCAATAATCGAACATATAAGTCAAATTTATCCTACGATAAATTATTCCCGAATTGTAAATCGCTTGATATTCTTTCGGGACCTATCAAATCGGTAAATTCCTTTTTTTCTTTTTGAAAAAAAACCATATTTCAACTCATTTAATGATCTTAGCCTACAAGTGAATCAACAGGTAATGCAAAATTTAATGGATTTATTCCTATAGGTATGATTAGATAATCATTATTTTTCTTATATGAATAAATAATATATTGGTTAGATAAACTCGAAATCACACATCGACATGCACGAGGTCCAGGTGGTCAACATGTAAATAAAAGTAAGAAATTTTGTATGTTTTTTTTTTTGGTTTTTGATTATAATAATGATATTTTTATTAGCATTAAGTGGTGTAGAAATTCGATTTCATGTTGATTCAGCAACATGGATACCAGATTGGATAAAATCACGTTTTCGTGATATGGTTTGTTTTATATAAATTATTGTTTGAAAAAAAACAAAAGAAATGTTTCTTTTTTCTTTTTTTTTTTATTTCAGAATCAAACACGTGTTAATCGTGATGGTTATTTTATAATATTTTCTGATGAAACTCGACATCGTTTATTAAATCAAGGTCAATGTTTAGATCGTATTCGAGCATTAATTCGTGAGGCAAGTCTTGTTCCAAAAGGATTAAGTGATGAAGAAAGAAAAGGAATCGAAGAACGGTAAAATTATTTTTCTTTTTTTTTTTGTTGCTAATAAATTATTGAATTTTATTTTATTTTTTAAATATTATAGAAAAAAAACATCATCAAATGAACGTGTTATTCGTAAACGAATACAATCACTAAATAAACAAGAACGTAGATCTTCTTCAGTAGATTTAAGTTAATGTATGAACACTATTTTTTGTTTTTATAGATTTGTTATAATAGAAAAGCAAATGTTCATTTAGATGAATCGAATAATTTGATTGAAAAAGAAAAAAAAAGATTATATATAAGGATACT